GCTCGCCTTCTCGCTACAATATGAATTTGCAGATGCAGAGCAGGTATTCAATGACAAAACAGGACAGTGTTAACCTCAAGGCTGGACAAAGATCGAGGTGATCATACAAGACTGACCAGAACATCATCCTTGCTAGTTCAAAATCAAATCGAGATAAGGGATCACATCGATGGTAAAAGTTTATTCGTGTGAAACTTCTTGCTAATTCAAGCAACGATCCTCTGGAGGATAATCTTCCAAGAATTTCGGTTTCATGCAATTGTTTGATCAAATTTCATTTCCTTCTAAAGCTTTGTACAAAACTTCATTTACTCAACATTCAGCACGAATTCTTACTTGTATTCTGAGGGAACTTTCAACGAAACGTTGTATTTGAAGTCTTATTCTGATACTTCACACATTTCGTCTCATTTTGCTTAGCTTATGTTGTTTTTCCTACGGCCAAAAAGCTTTACATGCAAGCTGTTTAGTACATTACAATGACAATTCAGAGTGTTATAAGCATTGCATGGAATACCTGGCGCTAAAACCCATCACCCGACACACACCCCACTCGGTAAAAACGAACGTGTTTATCGTTAACCTATTGGCATCGGATGAAATAAGGTAACAATGTGGATTGATCGTACGATGCTCACACATCAAAAAAGGCTTTGCTCGGTAAAGTCAAGTGGTCATGAATTGAATCGTATTGAACTGTTTTTGGTTAACTTTAGTATCTATCTAAAATTTTCATTTTCATCGGACTGAGCTTTCTTTATTGCCACAAAATACGAGAATATCCGAGAACAATACAAAGAGGCCTTGAATCAAAATATCTTGTGCCATTGACCTGAGCTATCCTAGGTGATACATGTTCAAGATCAATATTTAATTATTTATTTATTTGTCACATATCCACTACCTCACCTTGAAGAAACACCATATAAAGACCAAAGCGCCGGTACATCAATCTGTTCGGTAACCCCTGGCTCAGTTTCAAGGTCAAATTCAGCGTAAATGGAAGACTGAAATGATAGTCTATCGGTAAAGTGTAATTATGGGGAGGCTGTACCAGATCAGAACAGATCAAATTTATGCAACGGCGTATGAACTTGTTTCCTTTGTAGTTGAGTGCCTTTGGGGACCTCTAATCACGTAATGGTTGGCATTGTATTATTTTCGAATCACAAAACTCAGCTATTTTTTAAAATCCATTGTGACCGGTTTATGATAGAATGTCCCCTTTAATTTTATGACATTTTCATTCTCTTTGAAGATCTGTTGACCATCACCAACTGGATTTTTATCATTTAAGATGAGAAATTTTTATCTTTAATGATATTCTCCTCAGATATTAGGAATTTCTAGGAATTAGTGCAAGTTTTCTATCTGGATTCAATAATTAAACTTAAATGTTTACTTTCGCAAGATTATCCTTTGATGGCGAACTCGTTCGTTCCACGATTCATAGCAATTCGTAAATTTTCTCGGGATTCAGATTACAAATGTTAACCCCGACACCGTTGGACCTTTATACTGGACATTTCACCCCACCGCCAAGTCTTTACAAACCAGAGTGTAACCCACAATACAACTATGTCATCCAAGCCATTCCAGTGTCCAGTATTCGGATAATAAATAATACTGGGAAAATAAACAGGAAAAAAGGCACCAGCCTTGTTGATAGTAGGTCACATTCACCACGTCCGACTAAAACCGTTGTGTCGCCTATGCGGAGGACGCCTCCTAGACGAAAAGCTACGTTGTCTGTAGCCGTTGATTTCGTGAGCCTCAGTCCGCCTTATTCAATCAAAGTCACCAGTTTGATAGTCACTCCTCCATCTGTAACCTAAAATAAACTAAATTGCATGTACCACTGGTCCTGGGAGTCAAGGAGACATCGACCAATCGTTGGATAATCTGGCAGGAAACCTAAGTTCTACTGAACTAACTACCAATAGCATGTACAGGTAGTACAATAGTGAACAATCAGTCAACAATAGTTCATCATATAGACATTCCGAATAATGGGCACAAGCTAGTTTAGACAGCGGGTATCATGAACAGTTTTCGAATTGTGAACAAAACACAGAAGAAGAATGGGAAGAAGGAAGATGTTATCAAATGATTACACGTGATGTTCTAAGACGTCGGAACTATGTTCGAATGTTTTGTTGATCGAACCAACAGGCCTCTGAGGAGCGTGAAACCAATGTTTTAAAGCCAAAACTTCGGCAACATTTAGTATCATCTGGAGCTAAACAGTTCTCTTTCAGATAGCAGTAGCTGTTCTTGATAGTTAAATTTGCTGGAGAAAATGAATTAGCTAAGAACAATCTCAAAGTTCGTGCATATTTCAACTTCTTTAAAATCGTAGCTTGCTCCGATAAGTGTGATGGAACCAAACCAAGCTATCACCTTGTTTTTGTTGTACGGAAGTCGTGCTTAAATCATGTGTTCAGTAGCTTATAAAATCTGCATTTGTTAATCAGTGCGTTTTTCTCCATCCAAAGTATACATCAGTTTTTTTAAAGTAATAAAAGTATTCTGAAGTCAGGCTACTAAGCGCCGTGTGTCTTGGTAGACTGTCTGGAGCTGTATATACTACCAACCAATAGTTATTGTCAATTCTCATACTCCAGCGGGCAACCACAAAACACACGCCTTGTACCGCAAGATAAAACGGTGTTTTAACTTGCCACATGAAAACAGTCAACTACCTATCGAAAACCGACTACTGAAAAGTGAGTATTTCAGTAGTTTTAGCGAGAAGTGAGCACAAAGGAAGCTTGCACACAGAGGCAGAACAGCACGTACACACGCGCACATACAATGTCCAAGCCGAAGGCTGTGATTAAACACGCTGAAATGGACGAAAAAATGCAAGAAGAGGCCATTCGTCTAGCGGAAGCTGCCCTATCAAAAAAGCAAACAGATAAAGAAACAGCAGGCTACATCAAACACGAATTTGACGAGAAGTACAAACCGAACTGGAACTGTGTGGTGGGACGAGATTTCGGTAGGTGAGTGACTGATAGCTCGATCATGCAAACTGTCGAACCATTGTGTGTGTGCCAGTGATCATTTTTCCAATGGCAGGATACTTTTATTTGTTCTGTAATGCCGGAGAATCCGGGATATTTCTGTTTGACATTCTCGTGAACTCCCATCGTGTGGGGGCGAGTTAGAAGAAATGGTCACTGCTTTGCTGGTTTGCATTGATACGCTTCATTATCGCACTCCACCTCCACTAGTATAGCACGCATGGCTCTCGATGCTGGAGAAAAAGGAGAGAGATATATGAGGGGAGAGACCAAGGCCTCAAAGTTTTACAGCTCGTGTCTCAAATTTCCTATTTTTTGAATTTCCTAAGCTCGGTTATTATTTTTTTCAGTTTAGCTTTTAGCAAATCCAAGTTATTACGAAATCTCAAATTGACAATAACGATAAGTTGGTTGACAAACAATTGTCCCGATTCCGTTAAGGTGCAACTGAGCCATTGGATGTGCTTCTGTCAGCGTTCGTGTTATTGACGTTCGGTTCTCACTGAAACCTTCTTCAGATAGTCATTGTGATGCAAGTAACTCGCGGTAGAGATATTTCGATGTCATATTGGCGTCTGAAATTATCAAAAACTAGGCTAAATTCTCTTTGTTCATTTAAGTTGTCCCGTTAATATCGATGAATGCTACTGATTCGTGTTACCAATTGATCCTATCCTTAGTTCAGTTTATGTGTTTACCGTGTGAGCTGAATACAGAATTCTTTTCCTGTCTAAATTTTACTTACCCCCGAAAAAACGCGCCAACATTCGAAATTGGTACAAACTAATTTGCGTCCAGAATGCAATGTGACACTGTTACTTATCGAATTCAAAATGATACAATAACAGAACCAGAAAATGGCTGTGAACAAATAAGGATTGAATGGGCATAAACAGAACTGGGAAATTCACAAAGCAGTAGTAAAACGCGAACATTCAAGCACTGAAAATATGCACTGATGACCACCATACAGATGAACACTCTTGTGTATTCCGTAGAGCCCATCTCTCGTTCGTTGGAAAAAGATTACAAATGCTTTATGAAAGGTATAATCTACGGCAAAGACAAATCCTATTATAATAAATATTAAACTAATCAAACTAATTCAGTCTATCATTATTTTAGAAGGAAATATACATTTTGTGTGTCCGATTAAGCTTTGGACACTTATAAAAAAGCACAAAATTAGATACACCGTTGGTGTATACTTTTTGATTGACAGGTAGGTGAAACCATTCCGTTTCAATAGAATAGATAAATATAACCATAACATCTGAATTGCAAGTTTTTGAGAGGACTATAAACTCTTGCTGGACGAAGTGAAATGTATGACCTAGCATAACTGGCGGAACGACTGAGAACAAATCAGTGATTCGAGAGGGAAGCAAGTGAGCACAAGGTCCTGTAGAGAGAAGACACTGTAAATCACACCTCTAGACCATAATGCTTATCCGAAGCAATAAATTCCACTGGAGATTTTCGGATTAGTCCTAATATCAGCTGCAGTCAGTAACAGCTTTATTTTCTTCCACTATACCCATTTTCTTACGTGGTATATTTCTTAAATAAGTCTCCTATATTTGGGGGTTTATGAAAACTCTTGCAACACTCATCTTTCTTTTCTTGCACTCTGAATATTCCCGTAGACTTCAATTTTGTTTACCCACAATGTATTTCAATATATTCTTTTTCTTTTTTGTGTAAGTCATTCCCTAACTTGTAAATAAAACCCGACATTTCCACCGTATTTTAAAGTGCATTCAAATTGTGGGGAACTAAGGATCTCCCAAGGAGTGAAACCCATCATCAACAGTGCCTGGTGTCTGTGAAAAACCGAGTGGGTTAATCCGAAAATTCACCACCTATAAACTCGATATTATTACAATTCCCATTTCTCGACAGCCCACAATATCAGGTTGAGCTAAAATAAATACACTAAAAAGTATCAGTAGAATAAACGTTATCAATTGGAATTAGCTCCAAGGTCATGGAGGTTTTAAATTGTCCTCAAATAAAAATTTTCATATCTGAGAAACAGAAAATGTTCACAAAAAATATTTTTTGTGATAAATCATTAGAACAAAGGATAAGTTAGAATGAGTTTTATGACTCCTGATTATACTGCACAATGTTTGCACTGTTCACTTGGTTAATGGTGCAACTTTAAACGCACATCATTGAGAGAAAATGTGGTCTTCATCAGATGGAAGCAATCTCTGATGAATAAAATTTGGTTTTGTACAAATATTGGTGCAATTCTTTGCTATTTTTAATATTTCCTAAAAGTATATTGTTTCCGGTTTCAAAAGTGTTAGCAGACATATCAACACCCCATTGAGCTGCCCAACTTTGTTTTTAACTTCGTAATCATATCGTCGTTTTTAGCTTTTACGGCAAATGTAACACTTTTCTGAGTCGTCATTTTTTTCTGAATGAAGGATATTTGATTTGTCACGGCAGTGATGAGATCACTAACCAAAATGGGTTAGTTTATGGCCTTGTCATGCATAGATGACTGAAAGAACAAATACCTGACAAGCCTCTTCCTGTTTTATACTTAGAAAACAGACAAATAGAATTATCTTCACCACTGAAACTGAAACGTTACTATTAATATCGGTCCCTTTCATACAGACATTGGTGAGAGCCCAACGCACCTCGTTCATCCGCGAAGGAAACTCAATTACAAAGCGAGTTTTCAGTCTCTATGTGACTTTGAAAACATCTTAGTTGAAATGTGTAATTAAGCATATATCAGATGCGAGCTTCTGTTAGTTACCAAAAGAATGACTAATTTATCTGTGTGCAGGTCAAAGAAAGCTTGAACTGGAAAGCTAACCAACACTGTTCAGTGGTTTCGATTCGGTTGGATTTCATCAACAATTCAAATCCGTCGGCTGAACTGAGAATCGAACCTTGGAACTCAGGTGGAAGCGTACTTTCTAACCGATCCATGGGTAGCTGCACAGACTGGTTCACACATTTCATATACAATAAAGCACAACAGCGTTCTGTAAGCATCGCGTTTTCACTATTTCACTACTAGCGTTCAGGGTTAGGACTCGACTGGAAACATTCCAAGCCGTACTCCTTGCTGCAACAAAGTAGGTGAAAATTCATTTGAATGCCTAAGGAATGAAAGTCTTTAAAGCATTATTTCTGGATCATTTTGGTCATGATTGAATCCTCGAAAAACAAACAGAATTCGATAATTAACCCAAAAGCGGGGAGTTTTGCAAGCTGGTTCAATCCATTGATTCACCCATTCCTTATGAGACGGTCTTTTGTTATCACTTCAGTATCTGGTGTGATTCTGTTGCACCACATTATTTCTTTAATCAGTGGGCGTTCATTTCTGACTGTCAAAGTTCGATTTTGCATCAGATATTTTCTTTAGGGTTTGTTCAGATTTCTCCTGGTAGAGTCATGGAGCAGGTTTGTATACCTCAGGTGTAACGTCTCATCATTCTAGTCACACTAAAATGACATTTTTTGGTACAGAGTCCTTGGAAGAACTAACTTTGTGCCCTTATATCACTGAGATTCATGAAAAAACTTAAATTAGGTACACCGTGAACTTCGTAGATAGTTTTACAGCAGAAAGTTTGCTTATGAATGAACTACTAACAATCACGGAGGTTTACTTTTAGCAGTGTCATAAATTTTGTTAACCCAATTAAAATTTTCTCTTTCGTCTCCTCTAATTCGCTTTCTTTTCCCTTCCTCCTCACCCCAACGATGCCACATCTTTCCCGACCAACCTTTCTGTAAACTCCGTCCCCTATGCTCGATCAGTTTCATTTCGCATCAAGTAGGACATATAATTTACTTCGCGCTGGCTGATCGTGAATTCCTCCTGTTCAAGTCCGCCTAATCGAGTGAGACTCGATCCAATTGTGTCCACGACTCACGCAAGCCCATGCGATCCGCTGCGGCACCGCAATAGCGCATCGCCCAGCCACACAGAATGCTTGTGCGCCTATCATTCTCTGTGCGTGTGCGCACGTGCATGAGCACAAATTGGACAGTTTAAACATGCTTTTTATTCAACTGATTTTTGTGAATTATTACAAAAGAGAATACACTACATTTTTGTGCTGTCCCTATTTGTGCATTCATTCAAAGAAAATCGTGGAATGATAAACGGTATTTCGATTGGGATCCGATCAGTATAGCTTTACAAGTTGTAGTGTTAAACCGCGATGGAGGGGTGAAATCCGTAATCAGTTAAATACACCGTCCGAGTTTTTACAGCTTTCCGAGACTAAGATTGGAAAATTACCAATTGACACCACGATCCAAATGAGGATAAATGAATTATATTTAGTATGTGCCCGAGGTACATATCCTCAATTTAGAAATTGAGGATGTTTGACGTTGGTCAAGAAAGTATGGTTTCCACGTACGTTTTTGACCAGGTAGTAATAAGCTTGATGACTGTGATCCCCTCAACTGGCATTGAAGTAATTGAATTCAACTGCGCTAAGGTTTTTCGCAGCATAATTAATCTTCTGTTGCGTAAGTGGAATACCAATAGATACCTGGCCACCGGACAAAACACCCACGGTGTTATGGACTGAAAAACTAACCAACACTAAGACAGCTTATCCTACTGATAACCTCATTTTTCACTAGAAGACTGCATGTTCTGATTAGATGTTGAGATGTCTGATTTTGATGTATTTTGGCTGATTTGTCTCAAGTGATGCGTAACTGAACGGTCGGTCTCCTTGAGAAGTAGTTTGTTTATTTTCTTCCAGAAGAAACAAATGTTCAAAAGGTTACATGAGTGTTTTGAAAAATCTAGTGATGGGAGTTGGATGCTTGCACAAATTACTTCTGATTGTTTCACAGGGGCGTTGCCTACTTGGATTTGCGTGACTTCATGTGCAGCTAGGAAGCTATGATTGGTCGCTCTTGATTATCTCCGTCAAACTTTGCACTTATCACATCGACTGAATGACTGCACTCAACTTGTCATAGTTCAAACAAGCCGGTATGCTTCGAAGACAAAATCGGATCAGCACCTGGTCGGGACACCGATGCGTCTTATCCCTGGGAACAGGCAAATAAGTTTACGCAAAGGGAAATTGAAGAATAAGCACTCTGATTTTAAGTAACTATCTCACAAGTGGTGTGAATATGAATACATTTTTTCAGTTGTACAGCGTTAAATGGCCTTCGTGAAACCTTATCAGTTACGCTAATTAAATTACCGATTTACCATCAAATGGACGACTGAGAGAGCAAGAGTATATTTGAAATCAGCTTAGTGAATTTTTATATTACCGGGACAAAGGTGAGCACAGAACCGTAGGTCAGTGAAAAATATACGCATATTTGTCTTGTCATTTGTAAATGCATATATACATTATAAAATGGCATTCGATGGAATTTTCAAGCAAATCACTTTAGACTCCTTGTTTTTTATATCCAAATGTGTGCCAAGCGTATAAATGTTTTACTTGTCCGGGCGCACTGCAATGTATCAGACTTGTGAAGAGTGGTATGTGGATAGTTTAGTGTGCAATGAGCGGGTGGAATCTGGCGGGAAATTCCGTGAAAACTTGTCTCGAGTAATGAATTTCAGTTCACAGTTTTGCAACCGCCGACAATTAGCAACCCACACATTCATGGTAGCGAATCATTATTCGAAAGACCAGCAGCACCAAAGGAACAACTGCAGAATAAGATACGAAAGGCACCTTGAAAAACAAGTAGGAATTTTCGAGGGTAAAACACTAGTTTAAGTTACGGATGTTATAAAGACATGTACATGGTTTCCCAATACAAGGTTGAACGTGGGACAGCCAGCAGATATTGGTGTCGACGGTAAGCCCAAGAGATATAATCCAGTGAACTCTGGATAATGCAGTGCGAAATGGAAACATCTTAGAAAAACTGAAACCGTATTCAGCACCATTGGTTGGACTAGAAATAAAACTAGAATTAAAGTAAATGAGTTGTAGGGAATTAGAAACAGTGTGACTTTAGATCATGTCACTTAAGTACCAAAATGTTCCCTGATCGATATTACAGACAAATCAACAAAACAATTTAAGAATGAATGAAGAGATAGAAATACTGTTTCAACGACTCCCGATCGGTTCACCAATCCATGGTACACCAGCTGTAGCAGTACACACTAGTGGTTGCGAAACTATCATACACAAAGTCAAAAACAGGAGCAAAATTAAGCAAACACATTAATGAGAACAATTTCCGTCGCATCAGGTTCTTCATACTGTTTCTCCGAAATGCACAGATTCAGCCACCTTCACACGCTCCGTGGTTCTTTGAGCTCTCTAGCTGGATCATTCTCAACATACACTTTTCGTATTTATTTTCAAAATTGAAGCAACAAAACAACGCACGAAAGTGACGATATCTACTCTTGAACATCAACGACCTTTGCTATCCTTTTACTATTAGCTTAAGGTAGATGGCATTCATTTAGCTGAGTTTCCAGGCAGGATTCCCCCACATCTACAAGGATCATCATCGCTATCCACCAGCGATCTCCAATCATTACAACGGCTTCATTTACAACCCAGTGATAAGTTTCGGTTTCGATTTCTGATTTAAACTGAATTGCAAAATATTTGTTCCCCAATAGCCTGATAAAGTAATGCCAAACGTGTCTGATTAACCTAACTTTGCCGCAAATGTAGAGCTTGGAGCAACAATGTCATGCAAGTTGATTGGAGTTCACGTGATTCACAGACTGCAAAGAGCCGACGACCAACCTTTTACGTGCGTTGTTATCGTCGCCTGAAATTATAGTGCATCCATATTTCTTAGAACGATGCACAACCTATTGACATGCACACCTAACCTTAAAGAGATGATTTGGATAGCAAGGTGCGTTTCAGAGAATTTTAATTGTCAATCGATTTGATTGACTTTCTTGGCTGCCAGGACTCCTGAAATTCTTTNTCTTTCTAATTATTTTCGCTTATCGCGGAGAAGGGCATTCGGTTTCTGACCTCTTGCCTGACTCGTTCCTTACAATCATTTCCAATCCTTTTGGCATGCATTAATTTAGCATGTACTTTTTCTAGGTCCCGAATGGCACAACGGCACGGTGCTCTTTGAGGAAAGCAAATGCAACTTGTTCTTACGTCAATTTGACATTTTGACANAGTACGTGCGTGCGTGAGCACCATTGCAGTCGATATTCTCGCTGTCGCGCTGCTGGTCCGAAGTGTTTAGAATTCTACAACTACCAACAAACTACTGAAAATGTTGCGAGTGTGAAGACATAAAACGAAACACAAAATCTCGGCTGAAACACTGTCCAGAGGAAATAACAGGTATATCGGGCAGTCTGTATATTATTAATACACAAGCCTCCTAAACAAAAGCTAAATAGCTCTGACCTCCTATCAACCAATAATTAAGCCAGCGCTTTCATGGTGTCCCACAGACTGCGAATGCACAGGGTTCAGCATAATGATCGTTTGACAAGTAGTCAATTATAAAGCTAGAATCAACGTAGAATCATTCTAATATATATCCGGATTGTATAAACGGAACCTAATGTTTAAAATAGGTTAAGTATAAGACGACAATAACCACTTAAAATCACACTGTGAGCGTGGCCGAGGCATAAAGTTCATGGGCGATTATCAACGTAGGCTCTGTCGAATGTTCGCCGCAGCAGAAGCTGTGATAATTCGTTTGCACAAAAAACAATTTATTCCGTCGCCTTAGTTGCCCTGGCTCCCCCCACCCGTACACACGGCACACGAGTAATTCCAAAGATTGTTTAGGTGGTGAATCCAACTTCCGGTCTCATGATGAAATCATTTCTAGTAATTTGTGATGTTACTTTGTTGTACTTTCCCAGGATAACTTTGTTCCTTAATATATATTGACATCAATACAAATACCTGAAAACGAGCTTGCTTGCCACTGTTTTGTTTGAAACGACCACTTCCCTTATTTCGACATTCGCCTAGAATATGTGGATGGAAGGAACATAAACTGTGAGCATTGGAGTAATGAAGAGTAAGTCCGTGGAAAATTTCACAACGCCTTATAGGAAATATGATAGGGCTTGTAGTTGGTCCATGAATAATGAACATGACATCTTTCGCAAAGTGAACAAGTGAGCATTTCAAACAATCATCCTTGCCGAATAACACAAGAGTTACCCAAAAACAGAGAAGACCACGATTAACTAAAACTCTATGCCGAACCTCAGCATTGCTTGTCCCGTTTCCCGACCAGAATCGTGCAATGCGACGTAGATAGCGGTGTTCGAACACCGACAGTCTATTTTATCCTGTTCCCGTAATGGCCAAGTCTCTGCGCCGTAGAGCAGAACTGGCCGAAGTGCGGCAGCATAAACTCGACCCTTCACAAACAGCCGTGTCGCGACGACACCACAAGTGTCTCAAGCTGACAAATGCTAATCGAGCCTTTTGTATGCGCGCCAACAATTCATCTGCGATGCGTCCACCAGGTGAGATATAGCTTCCCAGATAGCAAAACTTGTCCACTTCCTCTACTACTTCCCCAGTCAGAGTGAGACTGGGTGCTGGACCAACGCAACCTTGGAGCAACATTTTACACTTTGAAGGTGCAAAACGCATACCGAACATGGACACACTGGCACTCAAACTAGCCAGAAAAGCTTGCAACTTACATGGATCTTCACTTAGTAGCACAACGTCATCTGCATATTCTAGATCAGACAATCTGCCACTACCTGGAAGTAAATCGACACCACTATTCTCGCACGAGGAAAGGGCTGTTTCAAAAATGAAATCTATAGCAAAGTTAAATAGAAACAGAGAGAGAGGATAACCCTGTCGAACACCCCTTTCTGTAGTAGCTCGGGTGAAAAAGTGCCGTAAGCTCAGACTCGGC